CTCTCCCATTTTTGAGCTTATGGATCCATCCTACCACAGATTCACATCAGCGAATGAGCCGTAGATTAAGAGAACAAGGTCTCAGTGTCACAAGTTTATTTCACCCAAAGTAATTTCCTATCTCATTGCTCTCCACGCCAAAAACAACTTCATCCAGTCTTCCATAATTCATGGTTTGATTAAACGACGCATTACAGTTAACGAGAGAATGGCCTAACACATACCTATATGATTCTAATAAAAGATTATCTTTTCCTACCCGACATTTTTAAAGTAATTTCCACTAAAACAGGTCGCGAATGGAGCTAAATCAAAATTAGACATCGCCCAACTCGATTTTATTTAAAATTATGAAAGATCTTTTTCCATATCATAGCTTAGTCATGATTATCCTAGTTGCCCAACAATTTGAATTCGGATATAGAACATCACTTACGCACAGTAAACTCAACATATGGCATTTATTCCCAAATCGGGGTACAAATAAAGCCCCCGCTGCAAAAATAAATAGTACAGTTCTTTGCCGATTTTTAGTGTAAAATGTATTTTGAATACTTGATTTACTTGGAACGTAGGGTTAAAAATAAGATAAAAAAACTGTTACATGTAATATTATTTTAATGAAGGTGTCCAGTTAAAAGGATAAAAGGAATAATTCACATTTTTGAAAAAACGAAAATCAAATAAGAACTTGGTTAGTCAAACTAGAAAATTCATTCACTAAAAAAAGCAGTTCGAAAAATGAATTGGATTTTAACGTTCACAAAACTGAAAAACTATGTTTTCGTTGCACATGGCCACCTTTGATCGAAAAACCAAGCTTAGAAGGAAATTTGACTTCTAGATTAAAATTCTGCCATCAGCAGGTTCACACCTCCAAGAATTGTGTGTTTGATCTTGGCAGTTCGTGTAGAAGCAGAAAATTAATAAACATTAATTTCTAATTTTCTGTAAATACATAAAACAATCACAAACGATACCTCAAGAAGGAAATATCTCCACTATATATTATTTTAAATACGACTAAATGTATTCCCACTTACAGAGGTTTTAAAACAGCGCATTGGACGTGTACTTCAAGTTCACTTAGCTTACTCCCAAAGCTAAAGTCCAAATATATCTACATAAACACAGAACACAATAGATCCAGAGTACACCTACAAAAACATAAGATATAAGCTAAGACATTAAACGCTACAAAAAATTGTAATTGAATCATCAAATAACTGTTTCTGAATTAATAACATCAACTGCCTCAAATAATTATGGAAATTTAACTTTCTTAGTGCAGCAGCAAGGCGGTGCAAAATCCATATCAACAACCGTCATGGACATTAACACCATTTATTGCCACCATTTTGTGACTGAGAAAGCTCTAAACATATCTTACAGAATCGTTTATAGGATTAATAGTTTCACTAAATGCAAACAGTATCATGACTGATATATTTTTATGAACAGCCCATGCGTAGTGTAACACAGGGCTGGCCAAAACATAGATATCAAGCAGCAGCAGCAGCAGCACGCACCTTCAGCGAGTTGGAAATACAGCACAAAGGGAGGAACCCAGCACAAACATCAAATAAGCTATCATGAACCTTCATTGCAATCCACAGGTTCTAGATGCTTTGAAGGATGAGACATTGAGTTTAGCAGCAGCAACAGCAAGCAGCAGCCACACCGGATCAACAAAGAGACAGGATCATCTTCATGAATTTCTACTCCTTCAGCCCATCCAAAACAATGACAAAAACTTCGCATACAATTTCCAACAAAAGATGGAGAAAAGCTTATCTAGTGTATAAATCAAAAGATCTGCATCATCCCTCATCTACATACGTGTAATAGCCTTCAATTACATTACAGAAAGAGGGCTTCTGGTCAATACGAATACATCTAGGATACACTTTGGGAGGGATAAAGTCCCAAGAATGAAAAAATAAATTCAACACCAAGTAGATAACAATATCAATAAAATTCAAATCTGCATAGGACTAGGAAAAAATATATGCTACAGGCAATAAATTTAATCCATAATTTGGAAAATAGGACTGAATCGAAATGATATGTGTGAGTTCCTTGGTATAGATATTTTAAAGTAGTTCAAGTGAATGTTTTGAATTCAGTCTAGATATTAAAGATAATTTTGTTAACACGTGAAACGTATTTATGATATCATGGTAAAATTGGATTAACCAAATAATCATTTTGACGTTTGCTAAAATATTATATGATAGCAAATAGATTTGACAAGCTACTTTTATGAACTCTCCACGTTTTAGCGAACTTCTTATCAAAATATGCTAAAACTCGTATCAGAAAACAAAGCCTAATTTTTGCCAGACATTGCTTTCCTATCTAACCACAACTTTAATATGATATGACATGGGATGGTTAAATAATTG